TTATCCAGTCGCAACCTACAGGACGTGGTGGACTGCTAATATTGCTGTCCGGCTTCTTTGCTCAATGCCCACTGTCGCAACGTCATGCAACTTCGCAGAGAGTGCTTTCCAACTCGCTGACCTGCAGGCCCTTGACCGACTTCCACTCGCGCGTACACACGCGTCCCAATAGTCGTGGCTGCCTAAGGGATACTTGAGCACGCCACCTCTTGACCTACATGCGTGTGCCACAACCATATAAAATCAGTTGTTACTGTTGCCTCTCTCTCCCTCTCTCTCGGGCATGACTGGCCGCAGTCAACACTAAACCTGGCTTCGCCAGTGGCCACCGCTGCTTGAGTCAGCAACTCAGAGTTCTGTGAACAATAAAGCCCTCATTATGGTGCCTTCTGCCTTTTTACAACAAACCGGATTCGACCTGATGATCGTAGTGCTCTGAGTACAACCGCTGCTCGGATGCTACGAGGATAATGAGTCTGTAGCTCCGTGTTTAGTACGTTTTATTTCTGACTATCTGCACGCGAGCTCGGGCCTCAGGGGTTTGAGAACCTGGTATTGAAGGTTAATAAGCGACAACTATCCATTTTACTTTCCCTTATGTTTTTCTTTAATCTCATTCTACCTATACTGCCAGCCCCTGTGTGGTTGTCGACAGTGCTCTAAACCGAGTCACAGGCACAGCTGGACGAGTATTTACCGCAACGCTATCTATGAGCGCCGGCCTGTCATAAAAGGAAAGAACTATGTAGAAAAGGCGGTAAAGTATCTACGGAAAACAATACGCATCGACTGGCGGCTAACAGCTTCAACAGGCCAGCTGGAGCCGGTCGCTACTCATGAACCCTCGAGGGCGTCTATTACGGTCAGTGATGGGAAATAAATTACCTCATACTCGCGATTGGTTTGCTTTGCTAATGTAGCATTCACCCGACGCAATGCCTATATGAGTCCTAGGTATTAGCTGCAAGCAGAAGGTTCAGATAGGGCTAACACCGGCGTTTTATTTTAGAAACAACGAGTATTCCAGAACTTTTTCTTCCTTGGTATCTACAATGCCATTAAATATTTTAGTTAGGTCTGATACGGAAGAAAGAAAGTCACTCCTATCCATTTTTTTAAAGATCCCAATCAGGGCTCACTGGCGGCAGGTCATTCATGGAGTGGAGAAATCGGGATACCGAAGGATGTTATGATGAATGCACTGGCACAGTCTCGAGCCGGTATGAAAATGTCCATCCTGCCCGACAAGGATGAACTGAATACAAAAGAACTTGCGCAACGAGTGAGTGCTGAACTCAAGCGTTACAGCATCCCGCAAGCTGTCTTTGCTCAGCGCGTCCTCTGTCGAAGTCAGGGCACCTTGTCCGATCTATTGCGGAACCCTAAACCATGGAGCAAACTAAAATCTGGAAGGGAAACCTTTCGCCGTATGTGGAAATGGCTTCAGGAACCTGAGTGTCAGAGAATGTCCGCCCTTCGACTTGCTGGAAAG